TGAGTTTTTTGACCAAAATTAAAATGAAAAATTTTTAATGACAGAAAGATTGACTCCCATTAGTAAGTAGCTCTAGAGCTAGAACATTATGTTTTGCATTGTATTTTCTAGTGATATGTTTGGATTTCTTTATGATAGGAACCACTGCTCTGAGAGTAAAACATGTGAATTTATTCTGCTAATAGCAAAAGTAAACTTTTAGTCCCTCTACTGGCTGTCTTTGTTGTAGCAGAGCTTAGTTTTTTTGTTTGTTTTTGTTTTTTTTTTAATATATCTTATTGTAATTATGATAAAAGCTATTTATAACTTTATGGCCAAGGTGAATATTGACATAAATTCTAAAGGATTGTCTCCCAGCTGAGTGACTTTATAAACATACTTAGGAATAACAATGTAAAATAATTGCTCATAAATATAAGGATTTGGGAATTATTAAATTGCATAGGCTTGACACCAGATAGTGAATAACATTATATTGCAGTAATTAAGTTGTAACTCTCTTTTAGACTTTGGAGGTATTAAAACTTTATTTTTTTTAAAACATGACAAAAATCTTACAGTACTGGCAGACAACTAAAACTTTTTTAATTTGCTGGGTAAACAATGTTGACAGAAAAAGATGGGATTATGCAGCGAGGAACAGTGTAAAATAGTATATAAGGAAACTTTCTTGGAGCTACATGTTCACTTTCTGCTAGTGATTTAGAGATTCATGCTTAAATAAATTTGTTAATGTCAAACGTTTATATAATAGAGATGGGGATACATTTTTCCTGAAGAAATAATAAAACCTTATGTGTATAAATTACATTCATTTAATCATTATTCTAATTTTTATAGTAACTGATTATTGCTTTTCTTAGTGTGATTCTTGACTAAGCTCTTTAATCTTAGAGAGGAAAGAATCTTGGGCTTGGCAGGGGATAGTTGGTACAGTGAGGATGATTGTATTTTTCTTTTTTCTTTTCTATGTTTGATCTTTATCTGACTTTTCCAAAATTTAAAGTCACTACAGAACTTATTATTTTATCTTGTGTTTGTGTGTATACTCTCTGAAAGTTGAAGTTATATCGTTTTTAAAAGTAAACATTGTTATATATAGTGGTTTGTTTTAGTGTGTTTGTGTTGGGGGAGGATACATTGATTTTATACATAAAGAAATTGATGGCTAAGTAATTACAGAATCACAGGAATCTACCAAGTAAAGGAATAATCTTACTATAGTTATTTTTATTGCAGAAAGAATATATTAAAAACAAAACAATCTGATTGTAACACCATTCCTTGTTGGGTAAATATGGCACAATCCAGGTTGGTATGGAATTATGTCCAAGAGAATTTAGCAGCTGCCAGTAGGACCTCCAGATGGTGCAGAAAGACCATGTGGATTTTAGAATTAGAACATCTTAATAAGGTTCTGGCTTTGCCACTTACCATCTAGGCCACCTTGAGTTATATCATTTAATCTCCCTGAATATTTTACCTCACTAAGGTTTTTTAGGGTCAAATGAGATAAGTGCTTTATTGTTATTATCAAGACAATATAATAACAGTAATGTTACTGTTATTATGGTAATTTCAGGCCCGTTTAAGGGTAGCCTCTGGAGAGTTATTTTGTGTAAGACTAGTCAAGTTTCAACTAAAAGCTTTGTTTTGTTGTCTAAGAAAAAATAACTTTGGTTTTAGTGTTTGAATTTAGCTTAATTAAATTTAATAACAGACTTTCTGTCAAGTTTTAATATATTTTAACTTGATTTTGTAGATATTATGGGGCTTTAAAAAGTACTACCTTTCGGGTAGATGTCGTCATTTATATGAGTCTGCTACATGGTAGATTATTTTTCTTTAATTAGAAGTATGACTAATTCTCTGTGCTTATACAGGAATAAAAGTGAATGGGTGTCAGACTTTTGGTCAGAAAGTCTGATTTTTTTTTTTGAGACAGAGTCTCACTCTGTCACCCAGGCAGGAGTGCGGTGGCACAATCTTGACTCACTGCAACCTCTGCCTCCTGGGTTCAGGGGATTCTCCTGCTTCGGCCTCCTGAGTAGCTGGGCGCTACAGGCATGTGCCACCACACCTGGCTAATTTTTGTATTTTTTGACGGAGACGAGGTTTCATGGTGTTGCCCAGGCTGGTCTTGCCGTCCTGACGTCAAGTGATCCGTGTGCTTTGGCCTCCCAGAGTGCTGGGATTGCAGGCAGGAGCCACCGCGTTTTATGTTTTTGTTTTTGTTTTATGTTAAAATGTAGAAGTGATATAGAAGACCCTACTACAAGTATTGGATCCATGCTGTGGTGGCTTTTAGAGCTTTGCTGATTTGTTTTTGAAAGGCACCAAGTCAACAGAAGTAGTTTAGCTTAAGGGTGGAAGCAAGATAAAATAGTTTCGAAGCTATTAGGACCTCTTGTTTTTTTTATCTCCCGTAGGCAATTTTTGAGCTAAAATACTACTGGTAGAGACAAAGAGAGAGATTTATTGTCATATGTACATATGTTTATTATGTATGAGAGTAGAGATTATGTATCATACAGTTAATACAATACCTGATATATAGTAACCACTCAATAAATCTTTGAATGGCCAGTGTGAATGAGTAGATAGTGGATGACTGAAAGACACAAGAGGGAGATAGTGCTCCTTTTTATACCCTGGTAGCCCAGCAAATTCATGAGTTGTTATGCATTGAGTTTGGGGAGTACATATTTATATTGAGGTAAAGGTAACATACATTTTTTGAATCTTGTTGAAGTTTGAGTAATTGTAAATGGTTCTGTGAACCCAGGCCGATTTGTATTAAGCTATAATCAGTGAGTCAGTGAATAAGTTGAAGTGTTTTGTGCCCAGTGCCTGCTTAGTGGTGTGGAAAGAAATACGACATACTCTTTGCCTTCAGCGTTATTTAAACACATGAAAAAATAGCAAACAATACAAGATGGTGTATTTTTTTTTAAATTGTAAAAAACACAACAAAATTTACTGTCTTAACCATTTTTAAGTGTATAGTTCTGCAGTGTTAGGTATATTCACATTGTGTAAGATGGTGTGTATTTAAATTCATATTTAAATTAAAAATCATTCAAAAAGGTGAGAGGATGTTGTAGGGAAGTGGTATTCAAACTGTGCTCCATGAAACCACTCAAATCTAACTTTATTTATAGAAACATTTTCTTTACCTTCTTATTTATTTAATTTAAAGTGTGAAAACTACCACTATTAGAATATGGAGAGGGAAAGGTGATTACTAAAGGCCAGAGTAATCAGTGAAGGCTTTGTGGAAAATACGAAGATTTTAACTGGGCCTTAAGGAATGAGTATGAGTTGGGTAGCTTTGAGGAGGGAAGAGGAAAAACATTCTACTTTAGGGATAAACAATTAAAGCTAAGAGTTGGGAATGATCATTGCCTGAGAAGACATATTATTAGAATTTATTATATATTTTGGGGGTGAATGGTATGAGAGACAATATAATATAATAATTCCCCAAAATGAGGTCTATTTAACATGAATATTACAGAGAAGGAGGGATAAATTCATGTTTTCTCCCTGCAAGACTCCTGTGATGTTTTAATGCTGCTATGCATTTAGAATCTTCTAGAGATTATATCTAACATATTTTAAGTTTATTTAACCAAAGGAATCTTTCTCCCCCTGGAACCATTTTTTTCTTAGGTACCAGTTAGAAAAGTGCATGTGTCACTTACAAGTTGAATGGTTTGATCAAGACGATCTATTACATCTCCCCCACTCCCACTTTAGGATGATTAGGTTATAATCATATAATTAACTGAATTCTTTCGACAAATGTTATGTATGTATTATAATAGGAATTGAGAGTTAGAAAGGTTATAGGACCATAGAATATTATATGCTTATAACTGTTCTACATTTTTGTTGTTCTAAGTATGGTCTGTGGCTATTAGTGTCTTCTAGCTGCCAGTCTTGTTAGAAATGAAGAATCTTAGTCTTCATCCCAGATATAATCAGAAACTGCATTTTGTTTTTAAGATCTCCAGGTGACTCATATGCACATTAAAAAATCGTCATACACAGTTCTACATTTAATCCAAGAAAGCTTCATTCAATTCTTGGTACTGTTAGTGGCAGAGAATTTGATACCTTTGATTTCAAATGCAAGGTTTACCCTCTTGAAATTTATATCCTTTGGTCTTAGTTCTGTCAGTCCTTCAATTGGGAGCTATTTGTGTGTAAAAGGCAAGCTTATGTTTGTCTTAGTCCCTTACCAGATATGTCACCTAGAACTGATCATTGTGCTAGTAGAGTGGGTTGGCCAGAGATTTGAATGGAAGCTATTGAAGTTATGTCACCTTCTGTGTAGAGCATTTGAGAGCCCGTGCTACTCTGTTCCATTGCTTTTGCTACCACTATTTTTATACTTTTCTCTCCAAGCATTTTCTTTAGGTAACCATTTTTAATTTTAACTTTTCATCTTGTACTGTTAAACTTTTGCCGAGTTTAGAGTAGCCCTACTATTTCCATAGAACTCTTAAAATCTTTCAAACCATTTACCTAGTTATTTGCTTAGACATTTTGATTATATGCATACCTTATGGTAATATTCACCTACTGTCTTGCCTTCCTTTTTAAGAAAGTTTCTCAGGAAATGTTCTTTTTTTATTGTAATTTATAACATCTACAAAAATAAAATTATTAGAATTGAACTACTGGGATCCCTTTTAACAAATTAAATACTCTTAGTTACATAAATATACTCCCTCTAAAAATGAAAGCAATACACAAATTTATAAAGAAGTGAAAAATCCATCTTTTTCTTTACCTAATCCCTCTTTCTCAGGGTTAATCACTGTTTAGTTTATGTGTCCTTCTATATCTTTTCTTAAAACGTACAAACAGGTATATACCACATGTAAAATGAAACTAGAAAGGGAGATCGTATATATGCTGTTCTGAGAATTGACTTTTTACTTTTTAAGCCAAAGTCTAAACCTTTGTATGATCAATGTGTTTTTTGACTTTAGGGAAGAAACCCTTTTTTCTTGGAGCCAGCAATAATTATCACAATTACTGATGGAAGCAAGTTGACTACCACCAGTGGAGTCCAGGATGAGGTAAGTTGTGCTTATGTTACGTGGATTATGCAAATGCAGTTGAACAATCCTTTATTTGTGTAGGATATTGAACACCTTTAATAGGTTCTCTTGTTGATTATATGATGCAGTTTAGAGTCATCTGTCTCCTATGGCCCATCTTTGTTTGTAGCAGTGTTCCTATTTTCTTGAATAAGAATCTCTTCTATGACAAATGTTTGAGCATTACCCACACCCTGTTTGCATGTGTATTTATGAGTTATGTGAGGGTGACAGTGTCAGTCTGTATCATAAATAGTAAAATGAATTCCTTTGTTTTTTCAGATTTAAAAAAAGAGAAACAGCATTCTAATAATTTCTCCCTATATTTCAGTGGATTGTCGTTGGCAGTCCAATGACTGTGGAAACTCCTTGGCTAGAGTATAGCAAAGCCGAGAAGAGGTGTTAAGACTAGGAAAAGTAAGGTTTTTGGACATTTTTGTTTTCTCTAAGTCAAATGTATTATTAAAAAAAAATTTTTTTTTTTTTTTGAGACAGAGTCTCACTCTGTTGCCCCAGCTAGAGTACAGTGGCACGATCTCGGCTCACTGCAGCCTCCACTTCCCGGGTTCAAGCGATTCTTGTGCCTCAGCCTCCCGAGTAACTGGGATTACAGGCATGAGCCACCATGTCCGGCTAATTTTTGTATTTTTAGTAGAGATGGGGTCTTGCCATGTTGGCCTGGTTGGTCTCGAACTCCTGACCTCAGGATCCACCCGCGTCGACCTCTCAAAGTGTTGGGATTACAGGCATGAGCCACTGCACCCAGCTGTATAAAAAATTTATAGCTAACCTTACCTATTCTGCACCAACATTCGTTATGCAGAGTTGTGTGTGGTGTGGTATAATGAATATAATAGATTTTTTTAATTTTAAGGTGTTTTTACTATAGTATTTGAACTGCTCTTTAACTTGGGCTGATAAAGAAAGGTGATTGTTTCGATAGCACTTTATGGTTTGCATGTGCTTTAGTATCTTAATTCCCATGATATTTTTAAGGGTTTAATTAAGCAGGAAAACTATACATTTTAAGTTCAGTAGCTTTTAGAATTATTTTATTTGTGTGACATTGTGGAATATAAATTGGACATGGAGTCAGGGCATGTAGGTCCTAGTCTTTGTTTAACTACTTTCTAGCAGTAAACTTTGTACCAGTGACTTAACTTCCTAATCTCTATCCTTCTCCATGAAATAAAGAGAATAACATTTGCCTTACTTCCTAGGGTTATGGGTTATTTGAAATCTGAAATAATGTATATGAAAGTACTTAGTAGGCTGTAAAGAAAAGTACATAGTATTGTTCTTTCATGAGCCATTGGAACCACTAAAGAAACATATTTCTCTGCTCTTATTTGGGGGAAAAGAGCTAAAATTGTTTTATTTGAACAGTTGATATTAAAGTTAATTTAGGATGTAATTCATGGAGATAGAGCTGAAATATTTAGGTAGATTATAATCCATGATTCAATAATTTATAGTCTATATATAATTAGTGGCCTTGGAATGCTCCATAGCTGAACTTGATGGGCTTTTGGGATTTCTTAGATTAGTTGACATGTACAGCTAATTATGGTCCTGCTACTTTCAGAAACAGGTAGACGTGGATTATATAAAAAGCAAGCAATAAAAATGTAAAAATGTCATTTTAGCTGGGCGTGGTGGCTCACGCCTCTAATCCCAGCACTTTGGGAGGCTAAGGCGGGCAGATCATGAGGTCAGGAGTTTGAGTCCAGCCTGACCAACATGGTGAAACCCCGTCTCTACCAAAAATACAAAAAAATTAGCTGGGTATGGTGGCGCGCGCTTGTAATCCCATCTACTCAGCAGGCTAAGGCAGGAGAATCACTTGAACCTGGGAGGCGCAGGTTGCAGTGAACTGAGATTGTGCCACTGCACTCCAGCCTGGGCAACAGAGTGAGACTCCGTCTCAAAAAAAAAAAGAAGAAAGTCATTTTAAATTTGAAGCTCTTAAATTAATTTTTCTTCTTAATAGGACCCATAATAGTTAACCGTTTTATTCAACTTTACATATTAATAAATTAGAAGTCTTTTGAATGTTTGTTTTATCCTTAATGATTTTGGTTGAGAAGTCATTTCTGTTTTCTGTTGTAAAGTATTCTTATGTGTGAGGTGATCAATTTGAGGTACTGTCTACTGCCTTTGTAGAAATGCCTTTTAGGGGGCATGTATTTTGTTTCCATATGTTTGGATCTGTTTTGTTTGTAAAATTTGTTTTGTGGGGACCTCTTCTAGCTTAAAAATATCTGGAAATATACATGTGTATTGGAATTGCTCACCTTTCTTCCTATGTCTTCCTTGGGAAGGATTTTGAAAAAATAGGGCAATGTGTTTATAATAACCTGAAACTACCTTGCTAGTAAGGTTAGAAAGATTTTCCTGTGGGCAGAGATCATACCTTTTAGTTCTCTTTTATCTTTTACAATTCTAGCATAGTACCGACAACAGAGCCTATATTTTTAAAAAGTATTGATTATAAACATTGGTGTATCGAATCTGGTAGTCATCAAGTTCCAAACTGATTACCATTGCAACTTATTATCTGAGGTGGAAGGTGCATTTGTTTTAAAGCAAAAGTAAATTATTTTGAAGTTGGAAGGAACATAGGCCATTGAGGTTAGGAATGTCTTTGATCCCCTGCACGTTTTCTTAATGTACCAACAAGACTCTCTTGTTGGAGCAAAGAGAAAGTTATCCTAGATTAATTTTTGCTAAATGTTGTGAGATATTGTGAAATAGTGTAGCCTAAATAATTATGTGATTTGTTTTAAGGAGCTTTTCAATTCATAGAAAAGCATAAAGATGCTTTTTGTATTGTTCTTGTGTGTGTGTATTGTGCATGTGCATGAATGCTAGATGTGATCTGTATTCTGGTTCCTACTAGGGAATAACAATTTTGCCTTTATATCTCTGTCTTTTCACATCTCTCAACCTTTGCCTCTGGCAGAACTTGATTCTTTTTTAGATTTATTCAGTGTGTGAATGTGTCATTAATTTCCACATTAGAGATGTGTGTGCTTAATTCTTGGTTGGCTTGTGGCTGCTGTTAGTATGACCTACTACTTGTTATCGAGTTGTATATTCCACCTGTATGATATCCTTTGCTTAAGAGTCATGTCATCCAACATCGTATATTATATCTGTTCTGTTGGTGCTGTTTGTCAGGAGTAAATGTTCTTGCTGCTTTAAAATCATCCTTATATCATCTGAGGAAATATAGAACTCATTTAGTCTTATATTTTACAAATGAGGAAATTGAGATCCAGGGAGTCGGAGTGATTTGCTTAGGTTATAACATTTGTTACTGCCAAAATCTAGATTAGAATTTATCAATTCCAAAGACATTCCAGCACCTCCAGACCAGTGCTTTCTTCCTGATATGGCTACTGCCTTTTTGCTTGATTCTAATTTTGTGTGTTCTTAAAATTTACCTTCTATTTACCTGATTTTTTTATTTGTCTACTTCAGTTTTCTATATAAGTGTCTTTTTGGTATTCTGTTCTTATTCAGTGTTCCATGAAAAACTATTATGACCAGAGCATTTCTAGGCAATGAGGATAACAAAGATAAACAGAACGTATCTGGTTCTTAATATTTAAGTTCACAGTATTATGGGGGAAATCACCTATTAAATGGTTTTATGAATGATAAAATAGGGATACATACTAAGTGCATGGGAGTACTAAAGCAGGGGAAGGGTTAATATTACCTTTAGTGTGTCAAATCTTGTATAATGTGAATTTTTATAGTATAATTTCATTTTTGAATGACTGAATTCAAGGATCTTACGAATGATTTGGCATAGGGTGTGGCTTCTACCTTATATCTGTGAATTTTAGGAAGAAGCTCAGTGTAAAGTTGTTTTGAGCCTAGAAAATAGTTTTTGTAACTGTAGGAAAAATGTGGTGCCTTGTTGTCTCTTGACCTGGCTAAGTATATATAGGCCCAAATGAACCAATTTCTTACACCTTGTTTGTCAGAAAAATGTAGGAATACTGTTCTCTGGGACAGCTCGTCACTTAGCAATGTGTTATGAATTAGGAAAGAAAAGTAATAGCTATATTATGAATGAAAATCTTGAGCTGTATATGATCATTTTACATTAATTTATGATTTTAGTTATATCCTTGGGCCTCATTTAATCAAAGTCCAAGCCATTGTCTGAGGTGTCATGAATGTGTTTCTAGTGTAGTATTTTTGGATAACTGTCTAGGATTTTTGATGATTGCTTGGATTGAATTTTATGTGTATATATTTGGCCTTTCTTTTAATGCAACTATTTGATAAAACTGGTTGTTTGCAGCATTTTCACTTATGAGGAGTGTGTTAGATAGGACTTTGAATTCTGAAACATGAGAAAACTATATTACTTATTTCCTTAGTAGTTACCTTTGATGTTGATAAACATACCTGTGTCCAGATACTCAGTAGTGTTTGTCATGTTATATAACTGATATATATATATCAGATGTTTTGGTAGAATCAACAAATTATAATTAGAGTTATTGAAAAGGATTTTCTTCTGCTATCTGCAGATAATCCTCTCTAGTACTGCTTTGCAATGGAAAACTATTCTGTACTATGATTCCAGGAACACATGGCTAATGAATATTGCTCAATAAAGGAGCCCAGAAGAAATCCTGCCAGTACTTTCTTAGCGATGAATGACATTCCAGGATAGTGTAGCAGTTATTTTTCTCTTCCTTGAAAGTGCTAATAGTAGTATTGTCTTTCAAATATTGAGATTTCTATATGCTGATGAGTTCTTCTGCATCTCGTTACCAACGTTATGATTGCCGTGGAGGCTAACATTGAGAGAAGATATTTGCAGCCAAAGTAATCTGTTGGGAAGAGTTTTACTTTCTTATTAGCTGTCCCTGCTTTTTTAAGCCTAACTAGGACAACTACTTTTACAACTTCATGGGATAGATATTCAGAAGGGCATGTCTTCATAAAGAGAATGAGTAGTCTCAGCTGTGTATTCAAATGGCTGTAGATTGGGGTCTTCTGTTCCAACTTGTCGGTTCTCAAAAATTGATTCAAAAGTCCACCATTCTTTGACATACGAATCATTCTAGGCAGTGTAAATGGGTTTTTATTCACTAAAATCACTAAAAATATGTGCCAAAGGGTATCAAAACTCTGATTTCATTGCATAAAGACTTTTAAACATATATTTAAAATAGTTGGTTTTCCCAAGACACTTAGAATTTTGGAGAACTTTCTCTTTTTTAAAAAGATCTGTAAGGAATTTTGAGGGATGCCATAGTGATGTGATAGAAAATATCAAACATTTTATCTGTGTTTACATGTGTTGAAATTTTCATGTTTATCCTGTAGTAGCCTCTTCAAGGTGATATTACTAGGGACTCAGTAACAATCTGAAGATTAGCTCTAGTCTTACTGATTTGGGATTCAGATGTTCTAAATATATGCATAACACTACTGTATATGTTAGTCTCTGTCAATTCATCTTTCTAAAAACATTTAATAAGAATATGTTGAATGTAGATTATTTGTATTTCTTTTTCTACTCATATTTTTGGCCCTGTTCTCTCAACCCCTGGATACTGCTGGTATGTTATAGGAATATATACATCTGCAATTATTAGTAGTTTAAAAATATGTAATTACAATAATGCATAAAGAAGTTGATGAAATATTTCAATTTAATATTATAGTAAATTTTCAGCAATTTACATTTGCAGTACTCTTATTGATATGCTTTTCTTCAAGATTGTGTAGTAAGAAAGACTCTTTGAGTACTTCTAGACAAACACAACAATGGAGAAATTTAAAAGAAATGATGGTTGATCATTCTAACAAAGCTGTATGGCTACAGTAACTAATCTGCTTTCTAGAATTCCTTGTTAAGATACATCAAAATAGTTTTTATTCAGAGGGTGAAGCAATTTCACCCTGTGTTTATTAGCCTGTCAGAACCAGTAAGCAATAAGAGATTCTACATATGTAAGGAAAATTTTATTTAGAGATGTTTCTATTATCCAATTCTAGCTCTTATATATATAAAGTACTGTGGTATTTAGAACAGTAGTTTTAAAATGGCTGCATCAAAATCACCTGTTGTGCCTTATAAAATACACATGCCTTTGTTCTTATTCTGGAAATTTTGTTTCAGTTGATCTGGGTAAGGACCTGGGAATCTGCATTTTCAGAGTAGCCCATGTGATTCTGATGTACAGTCAAATTTAGAAACTATAGTTTTAGAGCACAATGTAACCACAATTTTTTTTAAGCTACACAAAGCATGTGAAAATGAACAACTTTTTTTTTTTTTTTTTTTTTGAGACGGAGTCTCGCTCTGTCGCCCAGGCTGGAGTGCAGTCACGCGATCTCGGCTCACTGCAAGCTCCGCCTCCCGGGTTCACGCCATTCTCCTGCCTCAGCCTCCCGAGTAGCTGGGACTAGAGGCACCCACAACCGCGCCCGGCTAATTTTTTTTTTGTATTTTTAGTAGAGACGGGGTTTCACCGTGGTCTCGATCTCCTGACCTTGTGATCCGCCCGCCTCGGCCTCCCAAAGTGCTGGGATTACAGGCGTGAGCCACCGCGCCCGGCCAAAATGAACAACTTTTAACAAAACAGGTTAGAAAGTTAGAAATGTTTTTGACTTAGAAGGCCATCAAAATATTTTTTTAGGATAAAAATAATTATTGACCTTTAGAATTGTTAAATTTGGGAATGGGTTTCCAAGGGATATGGAACTGGCCTTCTGTGAATATTTTTAATAGGATAATTTCTAATTTGCTTGGTATTTTAGAATAGGTTATTGAATAGCCCCCCAAAATTAACTTCTGTGCTGACTGCAGTCAATCTGCAGTTACTGCTTACAGTGTGCTGTATTGAGGACTCTCTTTAGACCTCATGTATGAGGAGAGAGGTCCATGTAATTAGCATTACACACACACACCCACACCCACACCCACATCCACACCCACATACCCTACCTTACCAGATGAGAGCAGTTTATACAGAATTGTTGATACTTACACTTAATTTTCTAGACGGTTGCTGCAAAAATACCTTTCCAGAATGAATTCTTTAGATGTTGAATTGTGAAAGTATATTTTAAATTAATTCAGCAACGGTTTTCCTTGTGATACATAGTAACTTTGGCTGTGTATAAGAATAGTGGCAGCTCCATACATTTATATTTAGTTCTATATTTATGTTCTAGGTACTGGGGACACACAGATGGAATTAAGCAAGGCTAGAAAACGTATTATCTTTGAAGACAGGCAAGTAAATAAACATTTGTAAATACATTAAGATAAATTTCATGGCAGAAATAAACAGAAGGTTCTGAGACAGCATAAAGAAAGGAGTAAAGTGTTGAGGGAAGAGTAAGGAATTGAGCCATGACATTTCAGGAAGTGGAAACAGTATGCAAAAGCATGAAGACTTGAAAACAGTGTATCAGGAGATTATAAATTGTGCACCTGGAGTATGGAAAGTATAGGTAGGAAGAGTAGAAGCTTGAAATGTAGGTAGAGAGCAGATAATAGCACCCTAAGGAAACAGGACTTCATTCTGTTAGCATTTGCAGGGAAGGTATTGAAGATTTTAAACAGGTGAGTCACATGATCAGATTTGCATTTTAGTAAGGTTACTGTGCCAGCAAGGTGAAAGATGGACTGGAGGGTGGTAAGATGGGAAGAGTTAGCAAACTACATGTAACAACCTAGAAGATAATGGGGAATGCCAAAACTTAGCTAGTGCTGGACAGGAAGGCAGAATTCTGAGAGATTTGGTAGGTAAGCTAGGCAGGTTTTCAAAGATGATTTGTAAGATAGGAGAAAAAAGGCAAAGTATTTGACAGGAGTCCTGAACCCTAGGGCCCATGCTTTGTCTGAAGAGAGTTCTGTGGATTCCCTGACATCCTGTCTACACATTGTCCATCTGTGTGCATGAACATTTTTCTGGGTAAAGAGATCCATACCTTTAATCATATTCTCAAATAAGTAAAAATATACTGGTTTAGTATTATTTTCCACTTTCCGACTTGGGCATCTATGTGGATATTTGGTAGTGTTAACTAAGATGTGGGTGATAAAAAATAAAAGAGAAAGGAAGGTAAAGTAATTGACGGACAAAGTATCATTACCTTTTGGGTAAGGATGTTTTAAGGGAGTTATAATCTAACATTTAAAACAATTACGTCAAAGATTTTTTTCTTGCCTTTTAACATTATGTTTTAGGAAAATATTTTGTATTTAAAAATTGAAATGAGCAGATTCTGATAGGTAAATTTTTTTTTACTTTGAAGCAGATTTAAATAAGCCTTAAATCAGCTTTTAAAGTTTGTTTGAAATTTAAGGACATATGATATGAACATTTAAAATTGTTATTTCAAGCAAACATTGAAAATTCTACAGAGTGCTAGTTTAAGAGCAGTGTGTGTATGTGCATTTTACTCTGTGTACTAATGTCAAGTAAGTTAGAGGACACTAGCCTAATTTTTTATTTAATAGATTGGCAGTTTTCTGTTAAACTTAGCCTGTTTCGGTGTTTCATGCTTCTCCACGTTAGATTTCAATTTTGAGAGAATGAAAATGTTGAGTATGTGGTCTTCTGATGTTGCACTCTCCTGTAAATAACTCTTAGGCTGCTAGTCATTTATAAATACCTTGATTTTACTTATTTAGCTGTATTTCCATAGTGATTTTATTTAACTTCCACTTTCACTTGTTCTTTTCAGATGTAATACCGTAGATATCAAACTTTAGACTTTTATATTAGGAATAACCTTAGTGTAGTTACTACAAAGACATTGAAACTATGGGCTTTACATCAAGGCAAGGCTGCATTTTGTTCTAGACAAGGCTATTTTGGTATATTTTTCCCCACGCTCTGTCTTTTCAGATTGAATTACTGATTTTTCCCCCTTTGTTTTGTTTGTTGTGGTTTTGATGTTTTTTTTCCTTTCAGCTAAAGGAGCAGCCCAGTGGTTTTCAAGAAGTGCCAAAGTGCACTGACTGTCTCATGATGACTGGTGCCTCAGGGAGGGTCATGATTCCTGGATACAGGATCGACCTGATCCTGGATGTCACTTCAAGCAGTCAGATCGTGGGGAAAAGCCTTGTCTAATGGCTAGCCTTCCTCAAAAGTCTGATGCTAGTCATCTCGGAAGGCCTCAGAAAAAGCCTTAAAGGTGAGCAGAGTAGAGTGTAGTTCTCTCTGGGGGCTATGACTATTTGTTGGAGATTCTGATTCAACATAGAATGACAACCCTAACCTGATAAATCCAGGTTCAATTGGTAATTTAACTTTGAGCTTATAAATTGGTTGATGATTATCCGATCCCAACTTTTGAGTTAGTAGAACCACCTTGCTAAGCTTAAGATCTATAAGTGAGGGACTTGGTATTTCCTGGGGCTCTTCACAGCTTTAGGTTAGTATCTTGTCTTAGACAGAAATAGCATTGCTATTATAGCTAAGGAACACTTTGGTTACAACATTGCACATGGTTGTTAAGTATGGATAGTTTTTTTTTTCTTTTTTAATTTAGCTAGCAAGGTATTCTCTTGATTTGTATATTTATTAGATACCAATTATTTATCAGGCAGTTATTTATCAGGGTTTGGAAGGATAAGTTTGCATTTGCTTTGTCTGTTATAATAAACTTTTCTAAAAAACATAGCTACCTTTGAACCAAGTTTGGATTTATGTAGCTCATATTTTATTGCATTCTGTTGAAGAATATTAGTACTACCTGCATCATTTCAATGACATTTTTAGCACCAGAAAAAGATTCTCCAGAGATGTTTTGAGTATTTTGGAAAAAGTTTAATTCTAGGCCTCTTTCTCTGTGATTTGAAGCACTTACAGAACTCAGTTATTCATGTAATAACATTGATTGCTAATAACCTTGATTACTAAATTTAAATGCTAAAGCTTGTCCTAAGACTTAACTTTTTTTTTTTTAATTGAACCACCTGTATTGGTAAAAAAAAAAAAAAAAAAAAAAGTTGGGTATGTACCATTCCCATTGTATGCATATTTTTAAGTTTAGAAATTATATATGTGACTACTGTATTAATATTATTACGTTAAAAACATATATAAACATAGAACTTTAAAAAGATGAGATGAAAAAATTTATACAAAGGAAATTCTGATCTTTGCTTCTTGTATAACATGGATCATGATTTATACTAGGGGTCAGCAAACATTTTCTTTGAAGGGCCAGATAGTGAACATTTTAGGTTTTTCAGCCTATATGGTGTCTGTTGGAACTACTCCGCTGTTGGAGGACAAAAGCAGCCATAGACAGTATGTTAAATGAATGAGTGTGGCCATGTTCAATAAAATTTTATTTACAAAAATTAGGCTCTGGGCTGGATTTGGTTGGTGGGCTATAGTTTGCTGATCGCTGGTGTATATCCTGTTTTGTAGACTACTGCTCTAGACCTTGGAGTTGTATTATACTACTTTTGTTAGATCCTTTTCACATTAGTTTTAGAGAGTGGACTTTATCTATAGAATTGATTTTTCCTTTATGAAGTGGGTGGAACACCACTAGTAGTCAGAGTGTATTCAGTTAAAGTGAACAGATGCTTATTGAACAGTAGTGAAGTTCAGACAGGGTTAGATGCTGGCTTATGAGTTTGATATGAGATACACAGTTATGGCATAGTGTGAGATATAAAATTATTAAAGCACAAGCTGATAAGATGGTACAGTTGAGAAAGTGAGGCTGGAGCTGGCTCTAGGAAATGTCTTGAGTTGGATTTTGAAAGGTTAATTCAAGTTTGTGAAGTAGATGGATGCAAAGACATAAAGGTCACTGAAGAGAGTTTGGGAGAACTATATGTGCCTCAGTATTGATAGCTGGCAAAGTGTTCAAGAGAAACAGCAGCAGGAAATGAGACTAGATAGATTGGCGTGGCCCATCCCGTATTCTCTGCCGAGGAGCTTGAACTTTGCCTTATAGATGGATGGGAACCATTGAAGAGATTTTAGTAGAGGAGAAAGTTATTAGATTTGCATTTTAGAAAGATAGTGGCAGTAGCGTGGACTGTACAAAGAGCAGGGTTTTTTTTGGCACCTCATCTGTTTTCACTTCCTCATAAAAGAGGACATGATTGTAGGTTGAACTATACCAGACATAAAATTAAGAAACAAAGGAATGAACTGGTGACATGCTACAACATGGATGAACCTCAAAAACATTATCCTAGATGCAAAGGACCTCATATAGCATTATTCCATTTATTGAATGTCCGTAAAGTCGATGAGTGCTTGCCTGGACATGTTTGGGAGACTGACTACAGATGGGCACAGGGATCTTTTTAAGATGTTGGAAATGTTCTGAAATGGCATGATGGTGATGGTTGTACACTGTAAATTTACTAAAAATCATTGAACATATAAAATGGATGAATTTTATGGTAGGTAATCATGCCTCAATAAAGTTGTTAAAAAATTAGAAGGACTTTGCCTTTGCAATTTGTTGGGGTAAAACTTTATTGAAGAAAGTATTTCCATATTGCAGGTTGTCAAGTGATTGCTTTTTCCTCTGAACAAATACTGACCTTAAACTACTAGAAGCTAAAACAAAGTTTTGATTTTTTAATCAAAAATTCCTTTTGGATGTACATTGGACATTCCTAAGGATACACGTTTTAACTGTAGAGTGTAACAATAGGAACTAACAATAAATAATCAGGTTGGTATTACGTTTTATGGAATTCACTTTGACTTTAGTAATTGTTTTTGAGACAGGATCCTGCTTTGTTGCATAGAATTTCTTAATTTTCCTTTCCTTAATAAATACGATATGAGGAGAACCTTCTTCATTGCTTATATTGGATAATAGTATTAAAGTTAGAAATAGCCTACGGGAAATTTACTTGATTATTTTCTTCAAGGAAATATGCTAAAGAAAACGCTGATATAGGATGCTTTTAAATTTGTAAATTGTTTCCTCATAATCTTAGCAGTTATAGGAAATGAATAAAAAGAATAAAAAACAATTGGAAAATGGTTAATTTCATTCAATAAATATGTATTTAGGGCCTACCATGTGCCTAGGCACTGTTCTTAGAAACAGATTGTGAAGGACTCTTACTATATTACTTTCTTTTATTCCTGGCTACCAAAATAATGTATGAGGTTGAGCTTAATCATTTAAAAAAATGTGTAAACTTAAATATTTAACTTTTATTGTTTACAAGGTAATTTCACATCTCCTGTAATTCTCAATTCTGTGACCGTGAGGAAAATGTCTTAGTAAGGCTAATTTCTACCTAAGAAGCAGAGCTAGGACTTGACTGTTTTATGTTTTTGGGTCCATTGCTCTTCACACTCTAGTGTGGGATCAAAAGAAAAAAAAGCAACAGTATTGTACTGCATAAGAACAGTCATATAGGCCAGTGAGATAGAATTGAGAGTCTAGCAGTAAAACCCATGCATTTATAGTCAGTCAATTTTTGGCAAGAGTTAAGAGTTTAATGAGAAAATAATAATTTTCTGGCCAGGCGCAGTAGCTCACGCCTGTAATCCTAGACTTTGGGAGGCCGAGGCAGGTGGATTGCCTGAGCTCAGGAGTTCGAGACCAGCCTGGCCAACCTGGTGGAACCCCATCTCTACTAAAAAATACAAAAAATTAGCCAGGTGTGGTGGCATGCGCTTATAATCCCAGCTACTTGGGAGGCTGAGACAGGAGAATCGCTTGAACCCGGGAGGTTGCAGTGAGCCAAGATCACGCCATTGCACTCCAGCCTGGGTGATAGAGCGAGACTCCGTCTCAAAAAAAAAAAAGGAATAATTTTCTTAGCAAATGGTTTTGAGCCAACTGAATATGCATGCACATGCAAGAGAAGGAAACTTAACCTCCACCTTATATACAAAAATTAGATCAAAATGGGTCAAGGACCCAAATATGAGAGCTAAAACTTAGAAGAAAACATAGGCTTAATTTTCCTGACCTAGGATTAGGCAAGTTTTAGACATGACATCAGAAGCACAAAGAACAACTAGACAAATTAGACTTCAGAATTTAAAACTTTTGTTTCAAAGGATACTATCAAGAAAGTGAAAAGATAGTGACAGAATGAGAGAAAATATTTGCAGATAATTTATCTGTGAAGGGCATGATATCCAGAATATATAAAGAACTATAACAACATAAAAATAAAAAGACAACCTAATTTAAAAATGGTCAAAGGATTTGATTAGACATTTCTCCAGAGAAGATATACAAATGGCCAGTAAGTACATGAAAAGATGCTCACCATTATTAGTCATGACGGAAATGCATAATGAGATAGCAGTTTACACCTACTATAATGACATATAATAAAAAAGATGGATAGTAACAAATGTTGGTGAGAACGTAGAGAAACTGTAACCCTTATACTTTGCTAGTGAGGATGTAAAATGATGCAGCTGCTTTGGGAAATAGTTTGGTGGTTCTTCAAAAAGTTAAACGTAGAGTTACCTTGTGGTAACTCCAGTAATTCTATTCTGGGGTATATACCTAAAGAAATGAAAACATGTCTACACAAAAACCTGTAAGTGAACATCGTATTAATGTCATTCATAATAGTCAAAAGGTGGAAACAACCCAAATATCTATTACCTGATGAATGGATAAACAAAATATGATATATCCATACAATGGAATATTATTCAGCCTTAAAAAGGAATAAAATTATCTCACATAGTGCAACATGGATGAACCTTGAAAACATGCTAAGTGAAAGCCAGACACAAAAGGCTACTTACTTACTGCAAGTTTCCATTTATATGAAGTATCTAGAATAGGCAAATTCATAGAAACAGAAATAAGTGGTTGCCAGAGGCTTGGGGTAAGGGTAGGATGCTAATGTATATAGAAGGGTTTCCTTTTCAGGTGATCAAAATGTTCTGAAAGTAGACAGTGGTGGTGATTGTACAACTCTGACTTCCTGGTTCAGCCACTCTAAATAAATGAAAAACATGGAAGAACTTGTATCTTTACTCTCATACACTCACACTGTTTTCCTCTCTGGTGCCTATCTTCTTTATTTCCTTTTGCAACAAATTTAGAGATCATTTCTGTTATCTCCTTGACTTCCCTACCTCCTTTTAAATCTATTACAGTCTGACTTTTGATTCTACCTTTGTTAATAAGATCATTAATAATGTCCTTATCTTCCAAATCCAAGT